ACGGAGAAAGCCGACCCCGTTGCGTACCTCTGACGGGACCCTTTGGCGCGCCATATCACCGTGCCGCCGCGGCGGGTGATCACTGTTCGGGGGCCAGTGGACCACAAATCTGAGACTCTTGACAGTATGATTTTTGTATGGCTTAGACGGGGCGCACGCGCTTCGTCTGTAGTTCTGTGCCGGTCTCTCTTTTTTCGCTCCATTTCTATCCCGATTTATCTCACTATTATCTATAGCCCCGAAGGACTGATCGCCCTGAGGCTTAATGCTTTATTCCTTTCCTACATTTTCACTTTACTTCTCCATTTATCGTTTGGAATGCCTTTGTGTCTTCTTCTAATTCCAGTAATAATATTTTAGTTTTGTCTCTCTTTTTCCCTAGCCGACCTTGATTGAAAATTGTTTTGACTTGGGTCCATGTATGCTATCTCCACGCTACCACCTTCGACAATTTGACAGCCCAGAAATTTTGCGTGACCAGCCCGAAATTTTCGACACAAAAACCACAATTTTCATTGAAAATGAGCTTTTTTTGCGCCTTTTCGGTAATTTTTTGCGTGACGAACCGTTGGGCACATTCGATAAGTACCCCTGTGACGCGTGACTTGGCAATGGATTTCGACACCGACAGAGCCCCCTGTGATGCGTGACTGTCGAATCGATTGAAAAGGTACAGTACCCCATTAATCTAGGCCGCCGAAATACGACGGGACCCGTCACGTTGCCGTGGTTGGTGGAGAATGGGCCGCGGAATGTTCAGTTATTAATCATTCGCTTGCGAACATCGAATTTTAACCGAACATTCTCGGACTGAAGTGATCCTCCAACCCAGCAGCTCATCCATTGAATACGTATATTCAAGCGCAAGACATCGTGCACTGTGATAAATGGAGTGCTTGCGGATGATAAGCGGAGTTTGAAATATTTGAACTTTTATTTTATTTATTCGCAACCTGACCTAAACGACCTGAGAATTGAGCACCCCTGCTGAAATACACTGGACATAGTTGAAATGCATTTAAACCATCCACATTATTTATCTCTTGTTGCAAGCTATTGCCTTATAATACATGAACATAGCACGCCGCAGCGGAGTCAGTCACCAGTCCAATCAAACATTGGTCCTGCTTTCAGGGATTCATTGGGTTTCAGTGAATACCACAATAAATTGCCCCTTCTATGCCATATTGATATTAATTGCGGTATCCCTAAATAAGTCGCAAACTTTGAACTTTTGGTTTAATCTATTTTGAGCACAATAATTTGTTTTTGTTGATGGATGGAATCCAGAGACTAATATTCCTTTTACTTCTATTAACCGTCGATCCGCACTGGCATCCATCATAGTTCAGTGGGAACTAAGGCCGGTGTAACAGAATCCATTAAATACGATAGGGGCCGACGAGGGCGGGGATCATTATTCGTGGTGTCAGATACCCCTATCCAAGGCCGTACTGCCATCTTTTCATCCCGAACCACCACCACCATGGCTCGTCCAATGTACAAATTCTTCGGAGTCCTTCTCGTTGTGTCGCTAGCCTTGTTCTTTGGGTTATTCTTTAGCTTGAACTATCCAGGTATCCTATTCGGACTCGGAAGTCGGGCGACAATCACTGACCCCGTTCATAGAAATCATGCGGCATGGCTGGCCTCTCACGCGCTGTAATGTCCTCAGCTCAGAGATTGTGACACGATACTGCTGCGAAACCTCTTGTGCGACCGGATCGTGTCAAACTGCTCCTCAAGGCTCGCAACAATGTGGCTCCCTTATCTCATCGATCGACAGCGGGTACAGCCCCACGGCATGTTCTGCGAACTCGAGTTCCTGTCCGCCGCAGATAGGCAGCATTTGTGACGGAGGGTGCGTGTTATGGACTCGATTTAAATCCCTAATTAACAGGTATAGATATTACTGTTGCAATACCTGTTGCTCGACATGCAAGTCTTGCACCACAAGGTACGCAAACGCTGCGGCCATTTTACTGCAATTACTTTACTTACCAGTCACATTGACAGCTGCTCGGGAACCCCGTCGACGTGCAGTCAATCCTGCACAACCTATACGTAAGTAGCTCTCCCACCGCTTGCCCACTAGGCTAGCTAAGACGTCATCCAGCTGCAACTGCTACTGCTGTTCATCGAGCAACGATCTGTCCTGCATCTTATCTTGCCCAATCTGCTACACCGTCGACCTTCAGCTCCTCTATTCAGCTCGAGACGGTAACAAGCATAACGTGTCCTATGTCCAGGATTTCTCGAAGGACGCCAACAAGGCGGATGATTTCTTCAATAAACACACGACGAATAGCACATCGTTTTGTTATTATAACCCAGTAGACGACGCTCAGGTCGATATTGCGTTTTTATATGTTTTCTTTTCGCAACAGCGCTCATCACCCCGCATCAGGTTCTCTTCGACGTCTCATTCACCCGATGGAAATGGGCCATAACCGCCGTCTTTGGAATGCTCCCATTGACTATCATCCTCGGGTTATTCGCGTACTTCCTCGCAATCCTCCCGCTGTGGAACTTGGCTAGAGCTGGATGGAGCGACATGGGGTACGCAGCCCGGACAAAGCCGTTCCTGGCGAAGATATCGTTGAAACGCCGGAAGGCCACCACTGGGAGTGACAATGATCCGGACGTGGTCGAAAATCCCCCGCCGGAGTACAAGGAGCGGGACGGGGCAAACGAGTAACAGTGATATCTTTCCGTTTGTACAACGTTTGTATGGAGGGATTTGAGGCGACATTGTGATCTGGAAAGGAACGAGGCGATGGTGGAAATGGCATTATCTCCGAGTTGGCGCTCCGAAGCCGTAAGCGATTGCAGGGCCGGTGCGGTGAGCGCGTCAAGAACCAACTCCTGAGCGTTTCTATAACGGTCCGGACGCGAGAAATCATCTACGAACGATAATGTTTTCAGATACATCAGAGGTGGTAAATCATTGCCAATTTCATCAAAGCTCCGCATGTGGATGGCCTTGAACTCCACAAGAAATGTGGCTGCTCTCAAGATATCGTGAACCGCTAGGGGATCGTACCCAGACACGTGGATTATTGTAAGCTGTGCCCAAGGCAGGGTAACGGAGGTGGAAGGATATCCCCCAAGCCTCGCACTGGTCAAATTCGGCGCATTCCGGAATGGTGTGTGGGGGCCAGCCCACAGCCCTGTTCGAGGTGATTGCAAATCGAAATGACGCAAAAGGGGAAGTCGTTGGCAGAGTCGCCAATTAAAGTAAAAACTGCGTCAGGAAGTGCCAAGCGGATGTATTCCCAACGCTTAGAGTGAGAGAGGATGGCGCGGACAAAATCAGGGAGGAGGGAAGGCTCTGCGTGTGGGTATTTGGCCGAGCCATATTCCAGGCATATAGACAGAGGGAGGTTGCCCGATCGTCCCAGCCAAGTTTGGAGAAGATGCAGGAGTGCATTCGAGAAAGAAGTGGCCCCCAGTTGTAATTGCATGGTTCTCCAAAGCCGCGGGCTGTCGAGGGCTATGTCACGCCATTTCTGACAAATCTGCCCCAAAATAGCAGGGGAGACAGGGCCGGTGAGCTGAGGACGGGTGGGGTAGTCGGGGAGAAAGTGCCCAAATATAATCGATGTGATTTCGGTGGGTATCGAGAGAATAGGGTATTTGTAGCCGTTGAGACGTGTGTGCAAGTTCTGCCACCTCCGATGCGCAGTAGAGAGAGATTTTTCGAGAGCGAGAATATGGGAGTCCATGTCTGCGATCTGAGCACGGATCTCTGCGAGCATCGGCTGCGTCAGCTCAGGCTCCGAGTCAGGGGAGCGGCCGGTACGAAGGCGGGCTCCATCATGTGCTAGAGATGACATGAGGCAGATGCACCGTCGAACCCAATACAAAGATCCTCAGGACAGATGCAAGTTCGTCGTTGGTGGCAAGGGTTGGTGGCACAGAGACAAAGATTGTTTGTTCATGTGTTTGATCTGGCAACTCCGACAACCCCCGTGAACGTGTCCTCTTTCTCGCATCCACAACGCATCCATGCAACTAATTCCGTTTCCTAATCGCTCTCATTGATGCATGGATGATTCTATTGAGGGACTCGACAGAGAAACCTCTCCGAACAATGATGCCGCCGACCGCTCACAATTATTTATCAAACGTCACAGTCCTCGTTTTTCGTATAGAGATAGGTTGTCAAAGGCCCTGAATGTAGTTTAAATAAGTGCCTCACTGTATATAAGCTTCACAGAATTTCTATGCAGGAATTAACTCTGGCAAAAGGGAGGTAATATTTCAATCATAGAACTGGACTACAATTGATACTGGCACGATTACCATCCCCTGGATGTCGCCGGAAAGGCAAAATTCTTGGGATCTTGGCTTATCTTCTAGCATGATCCCCAGATTTTTCCAGTCCCAAGGGCGAGTGCAGGGCACTTGCCATGGTCGGTTAAACTTCCTCTGAGAAAGGATAGTATGCCTTACTTTTCACTCAGAACCGGCACGCGGCGGGTAAATATGTTCGCAGAGATATATAGTATGTACATCACAAAGTGTAATGGACGCGATGCCGGGTTTCGCTATTAGGTCTTCCTCCCCTCTACTTGCCCTTGGTACGGTATGTGAATGGTTCGGTCTTTTTGTGTGGGGTGAAGGAAAATGAAGGTGTTCACCGACTCAAGCCTCACAACCTAACCTCGGTTCGAACGAGGGACTTCCACATATCCCCTAATTCTCGATGATACGAAGTGTGGATGCCAATTTCACTATTAGGTCTTCTTCCTCTCTACCTCAACTTTGAGTACTGCGAAATTATTTCAGGCTTTTTTGTGTGGGGTGAATGAAAGAAAAAATCGACATCGACGATGACCTAACCTCGGTTCGATAGGACTTCCACCGAAATGGGAGGATAGGTGGATGCGATGCCGGCTTCGCTGTCTTGTTCCTATAAATTTAAACCTAGACTAGGGCGAAATCATTTCAGGCCCTTCGGTGCGGAGTAAAAGAAAACCGATACAAAGGCTACAGTATGACCTAACCTCGAGTTGAACGAGGAACTTCCACATAATCATAGAGGAGCTTTTCGATTGGGAGTGGATGCGATAAACAATTTCGCTACTAGGCCTTCCTAGTATACTTCTGCGCCATGTCACAGTGAGATCGTTTTATGCATTTTGTCTGGGTTGAATAAGAAAGGTAGCAAGAGCGAAAGGACCTAACCTCGGGGACTTCCACTTTGACTCAGGTGCTTGTTCAGGTCTAATTGCAGTGGACGCGATTCCAATTTCGCTATTAGGTCTTGTTCCTAGAATACTACTGAACCTTTATTGAGGTAAAATATCTGAGTACTTCAGCGAGGGAAGAAAAAAAATCACTACCATTCCAGGTCACGAGCTAACCTCGGGTCGAACGAGGGACTTCCACATAATGCTGACTACATGGAGCCAGGTTGGATGCGATCCTAATTTTGCTATTAGGTCTTCTTGCTATAAGTCTGCACCAAGCCACAGAGGGATTTCATTTGGTGTGAGGTGAAAAAGAGGAAGCACGGACGAGAGTCAGGACCTAACCTCGATTCGAACGAGGGACTTCCACATAAATGGTATTTTCACCATAATTGGGCCCGGGCCATGTGCAGTAGATGCGATGCCGGTTTTCGCTATTAGGTCTTCCTTCCCTAAAGTTCTGAGCCCTGGTTTACTCCTGTATTTCTTCCAAACTTGGTGGGGGGAAAAAAAGGCGAGAGAATCTCGAATCATGCATAACCTAACCTCGGTTCAAACGATCAGAAACCCTCCAACAACGACACCGATTTCACTATCAGGCCTTCCTCCCATCTAATTGAGCCTAGCCTAGCGCGGATTTATTTCAGCCTTTCTGTGTGGGTTTGAATAAAAAATTGATAACAAAGAACGGAAGTCCAAAGGACCTAACTTCGGTTCGAACGAGGGACTTCCACGTAAACTTTTTTTTCAACAGCTGAGGTGCAGTGGATGCGATGTCAATTTCGCTATCAGGTCTTGTTCTGCACCTTCACTTGGTGTGGGTTTTTTTTTTTGTCCTGGACCAAAAAAATGCGCTGGGAGACACAGGACGCCTAACCTCGAATCGAACGAGGGCCTTCCACATAAGCACCAAGTAATGCTTGTGCAAGTGCAGTGGATGCGATGCCAATTTTGCCATTAGGTCCTTGTGGGTATAATTCTGCACCTTGCTACAGTGAGCTCACTTCGGACTTTCTGTGTGGGTTGAATAAAAAATCGCCTCGAATGGATCACGGCGCAGTTCAAAGGAGCCAAACAGCTGAGACACAATTCCCTATTATTAAGTCTTCCTGGTATAATTTTGAACCTGGTCCCATGCTGCAAAAATACGACAGAGAAAAGAAAAAAGTTGGTGCGGATGTGACCCACGGTTCGAACAAGGTACTTGCACATACCCTTGACGCGAAGGAGATCATTAAAGGGGGTGCATGCGATGCCAATTCGCTATTGGATCTTGTTCATATAAATCAGGACTTAGAAATCAAGCGTGAATATTTGGTTTTTTTTTGCGCATTTTGTACGCAGTTCAAATTTTGCCCAGATTTTGCCGGCGAGAAAACAGATGCAGAAGAAGAACAGTGCAGCCCTAGTGGACGACAGATGCAAGCTGGGCCGACGGGGACGGCCCGCGGAGCTGACATAATCCCGCCACAACCAAACAAACCAAAGCTTGATTTGCTTCTTCTAGTCTCGCCGCAAGAGGTCCCCAAGATAAGGATTTGACCCACTGTCTACAGCACGTGACCAGATTCGATGACACCTTCCTCGCGTTCAAACAAATTTGCTTGAGAGGCGATCTGAGCAGCGAGAGCATGTATAATGTTGTAGAGAGTTTTTTGAATTTTCTGTGGAGGATATCGTTTCGAATTGAGTTATCACCGGATTTATGGCCCAATTGGGCTTGGCTGGCATTTTACGCAGTAGGGTGCTTACAGGAGCTCAGAACCTCTGGCAATTGATAATCAAGTATATGGTACATATTTAAGGCATCCAACATAGAGTCCAAATTTTTCCGCAGCCCAAAAACATACTGCAAGCCTTCGAAATAATAAAGATCCATTGATGATTTATCACTCATTGGGTGACTTCCCGTAAGCCGAAAACAATCCAGCTGAATATATTAACAATTTCCGCCGGGATGCCCATGGTGCCATCAGGATCCCATCGGACAGAGATCTCGCTTAGACCCTTGATTAAACATGTATAAATTGTGAATCTAGACGAGGGTACCCCCCCCTCGAATAGATTTAAGAATGCATGAATAAACCGTTTTGGGATGTCGAATGATGTTGTGGCAATGCTCATTGCTGCTTCCACCATCCTCTACATCCTCTGCTGGGCTCTCATCATACCTCAAGGGCTCCGGTTGGTAGGGTACATATATGGGCCGCCTTTTGAGCAATCGGGCCAGCAGAAATAGAGCCGGATCTGCTGCCTGCGTTCTGCACGAAGGACGCATGCCTTTTCTGTCCCAACACAAATCACAGCAGCTGCAGCTGCCACCATATCCCAATTGGCATCTTCCATTTCCACAGCCATTTGGTGCAAAAAGTACACGTCGATATCCATTGACGGCTTTGGGAGGTGAGTGTCAGTGATGACACATTGTTTGGTTATTGTTTTGACACGTGTCTATTCCAAATAGTCAAGGTAAACTGAAGCGTCCTTACGGGAATGGAAAGTGAATATAATATCTCGGTATATACGTAGCCGACATCACTGGCACCGCTCGGAAATGTTTCTGGAGTATATTTATGTTACGGGAAGTCACCCATTGTACATCTTCCTGTGCAAATAGAGACAGTCAGAGTAGGGGTTTCAGAAGGGTTTCACAAAAGCGCTTCAGAAGGGTTTCTCGACGAATTTTTTATGAAGTGTTTCCCAAATAATTTCTGAAGCGCCTCTGGAGGCACTTTGACGTTTCAGATGCGCTTCAGATTTATGTGCTTCTCCCATGGTTCAGAAATAAATTATTCATCAAGGAACCCTTTTGCTGAAACCCTTCTGAAACGCTTACTCTGACTGTCCCTAAATCAAAAAAAAAAAAAAATTGAGAAAAATGCCTAACTCTCGAATGTGGTAGATATTTAGAGTTATTTGAGGCTGCATCAGAGACAACTTGCAGAGGAATGGTAATTACTTTAATTCCCTTCACAATTCAGGCAACACGTAATCACACTTGATGTGGGTAAAATAAATAAATAGGCAGGCTACATACTGGACAAAAGGCTATAATCTGCTCAAAGTATGCTGTGCACACCGAGAACAGGGGGGTATGTATTTGTCCAAATATGGGTGGAGCTATGCGGAGTTGAAGAGAAAGAACAATACAATTACAAAACCCTGACTATCCGAGACCCAGATTGTGCTTCAAACCAAGACTCTTGGCATCCCCTTATCCCCGCTTCCTTGAGGCAATCTGTCCTCTTCCTCCTCCTCATCAGTGACACATGCCTCCTCCGGTTCACTATCAACCTGCAATTCTGAAAGTTGCTGAAGTTGTTCCTCATACTTCAACAAAACGGCAGAGTCAACCTCCGCTAGCTTTGCATCAACTTTGATTAAATCCTTTGTCTGAGAAGATCTTTCGAACAGAGGCCTTGCTGCCTTCCACAATTTAACTGCCTTCAGGACCTCTCCATGATTATTCAGTATACCGGCAATTCGAACCATGCAATCTGCCCGCCAGTGATGGACATCCATGACTGTGAATCCATCGAGAGCAACATTGAATAGGCTGAATGCTGTCTCAGTATCACCTTCGGCAGAAAAGATCTGACCAAGGCATCGGAAGGCTTGCATTGTCTGGAGTTTCTCCTTGCCCCTCAATGACAGTGCCAGGAGGATCCCGGTCCATCGCAGCGTAGTTTGGATATCATTCATCCCAGTGGAAAGATCTCCAAGCCTTTGTAGGCATAGGAGTGCTAGCTCTGTGAAATCATAAGATACAGAACATTTTTCAAACATTGCATTCGCAGTCTCAGAAGTCCCATCTCGAAGCCAGAGTTCAGCAGTTACATATTTCATGAAAACAGATATTTGTCTGCCAGGGTACCCATAAAATGCTTTCAAATGAGACTGAGCCATGTCTAGATTTTGGTGAATGATTTTTGAATCAGCACCAGTCATAATGTCAATGAAAGCAATGTTCAAGTTTGCCAAGTTGGTGGTGTATGAAGTTGGCTGGCACCTGGATGCAACGGCAACTTGTACATTACGAGATTGCAGATACTCTGATTTCAGCAGGTGTAACTCAGCCTGCTGATTTAGGATGTTGAGATGCAATCTACTTTGTTGTGGACCGAGAGTAGCCAGGATATGTCTGGACTTTTGCAGAAGACACTGAGCATGCCAATAGTTTGCCAATAATGCATGACATCTGGCTTGAAGGTAGAGAGACCATGCTTGTGAATAGATGTTCCCCATCTGCTCAGCATATCTATGTGCGTCCTTGGCATGTGTGAGTGCATGTAAGGGCTTTCCAGTAGCCAGAAAGAGGGTGCATATGCTGGTCAACGCATGGTTGCCAACAATGGCGGGGTATCCAATGCTTTCTGTGAGAGAATAGGCTGTTTGATAATACTCTAGGGCTCCCTCACAATCTGACTTTGCCCACCAGAAGTAAATTCCCACAGCACGGTACCATCTGGCTGGTGATAAATTAGTTAGGTGAACACAAGGACTGTGATTGTGCCTTACCTTGTTCCAATGGATCCCTTGATTTGAAATGCTCAGTACCTAGGGAGATGTCACTATCCCAATCCCGGTCAGGGAAGTAGTGACAACATTCCAGTAGCGCAATAAGATATTCTCCAAACATTGGATGATTTTTCCAGTGAGGCATTTTCCCAGAAAGCTGGAGCAGAAGTGGTGAATAGGCCTCGTGAACCCGACGATGGAAATTATTGAGAAACAGACAGCTCTCAAAAGTCTGGATAATATCCGGCCCCTCTGGTTCAAGCCCATTGTGGAGAACAGTGTTGAAGTTGCCCAAATTTCGCGAAATCTGAGGGAATGTGTCTGTGACATTGAGATTCTTGAATTGGTTCCAAAGTGCAAGAATTTGATGGAAATGTTCACG